TATCTGCCAGAGAAGTATTTTACAAACTCTCAGTCTTCTCGCTCTCTATTTAATGATAAATTACTCTTTGCTGTGTTTTAACTCATGGTTAAGCAAAAAGAAAAAACATCTTCAAATTTTGCAGAGAAACTCCCTCATTGAGTTACGAACGAAAAACGAGCAGAAAAAGATTCCCACTAAAGTTTTTTTTGCAGTTGGAAATTGTAGTATGATGGTGATGCAGACGATGCAGACAGCAGTGACCGTGTCAGTCAGTTGTATTCATTGGAATAGATTCAGTTGGAATAATTACACAAGTGTTTTGCCGGCATTTGTTGTTGGTTTTTTGTTATTCGTTTGTTATGTTTTGTTACACTCATCGTCGTAGTAGACGTACGAAAAGTCCACACATAAAGTAAACAAATAAGAAGTTATAGGTGAACATGTCCGATCATATGATACCATACAATTATGGTGTTAAAAGGGGAGACTCATACCGGGTTAGGTCCAATTGTTTAATATTGTTAGGAAGCTCATTTGTCGCGAGTTTTTGGGCGTTTCAGTGATTTTCAGTTATGAACCGAGCTTTATAGATTTTAACGGTATAATCGATATATTTATACGATTTATTGAAGATAAACAGATTTTTCAAAAGAAGCGTAAAAGGGAGCTCAACTATGCACCGATACATATAGTTTGGTGGTGTGAACTAGTGAACTTTAAAATGATATCCTAAAGCAACCTTATTTTACAGTCTGATATTGGTCACTGTTGAGTACTAAATTTTATCATAATTGTTCCATTATATCTAAACGTTCCACAGATATTCCACAGATTAGCCAGGTTCATACTTGGGAGTTGGATTTTGATTACAAGTTTTAAATGTATAGAGGGACGGATATTGTAGACAGGGATCTAAATTTTGGATAAACACGATATGATTCTTTCATATTTACAAACATCTGCCCTCATCACTACAGGGCTGTAGGGTATAATAAAAACTACAAACACTTACAAATTAGTTACACTAACTACCACTACACACATATAACTATTTGTGCACTTATGTGTGTGTAAAATTGATTATTCACACATAATGCACTTACACACACACACACAAACACTCTTTGATGAAGTTAATCAAAAGAGAACTTCTAGCTCTAAATATTGCCTGGTAGTGGGTGGTTTGCGGGAGTACAACCCAATAATAACAACAACTACAACACATTTTTATTATATCATCACCATAAAAACAATAACAACAATAACATTCATTCTCTAAATATAAATATTCGAAGTTCGAACACTATATTCGTAGTTGCTATTGTTGTTTCTGTTATTGTTGAAATGTATGTTTAAATAGTTTAGTATTGTAAATAAAATATATACATATGTAGCCGAGAAGAAGCACATTCAATTGTATTTATTTATTTTGTATTTAACAATTGTTACAAACAATTATAACAATACGAATAACAACAACAGCAACCATAAGACCAACACTTACAAATAAAGTGGTAAAAATATATGTGGAAGTGTGTTTGTGTATCTTTACGTTCAGAATATGTTTATATTCTATGAGCGCACTTTAATTTTATGGATTCATTTACCCCCTCCACCTTTAAGAGAATAGAAAATGTGTACATTAAAATTAACTTGACCCTCATACATATTACATGGACAAAGAATGGAGTATTTGCCCAAATAACTTTTATTTGAAGAGGAAAAAGAAATTTCATTTTATTCAGAGACATTTTCATCAATATTTATTTTTTGCAATTGGCAGGGTTAAAGTTAATTTTAATGCTATTTTAACTGAAACGAAATGTAATAATTGCGTATAGAATATTAATTTCCGAATAATTTTCAAATAAACTCTTAAAAACGTAATTTAATATTTACTTACTAGATAGCGCTCAAATAAGGCCTTTAGCACTTTTGGAAGAGTTAGAGACTTAAAAGTTTTACAAATATTTTCTATTGATATCTAGCATGAATACAGGTTAAATATGGCAAAAATCGAACCACATTTGAAAATAGCCTCCGATTGAAGTTCCATTTCAGAAGATGAGATAGCGATACAATTAACTAAATCTTTTAAAAAATTATGGCAAAAGGAACAATTCTGAAAGGATCTATAGTCCATATATACGAACAAACTAATTTATACAATTTCTCATAAAAATTTTTCATAAACTTTTTACACAATTTCACTCTAAACATACATTTAATGTTCTCTGTTGTAAATAATCCTATAAAATTACTATTATTTTCATCTCTTTAGCAGATTTTTAAATTTTCGCCGAAAATATTTCCATTATGTGCAATATGCCTTAATAAAATTAACTATATAAAGTCAATAATCTTGATATAACTGAAGAATTTAATCAAATATCTTCATCTCATACAATTCATAAAAACCATTCAAGGTATAAATTTTGTTTGTTCTCAAATTCACTTACACTCACATTGAAGATAGCACAACTATAGTCGTGATAGTGATAATAATGTCATAACTCCGAAAATAAAGTTTTTTTAACAAAATATACTTTTTGGTCAAGGTTCATATAACATAAACTAGTGTAGACTAGACAATCTAATCTATAGACTAGTTCGTAGAAATGTTAATAGATTAGTCTACAGAATAGCCCATAGGCTAGTCTATAGAATTGTCCACAGACTAGTCTTAGACTATAGACTATAGATTAGTCCATAGAATAGTCAATCGACAAGTCTATAGAATAGTCCACAGACTAGTCTATAGAATAGTTCACAGACTAGTATATAGAATAGTCCACAGACTAGTCTATAGGATGGTCCACAGACTAGTCTTTAGAATAGTCCACAGACTAGTCTATAGAATAGTCCATAGACTAGTCTATAGAATAGTCCATAGACTTGTCTATAGAATAGTCCATAGACTAGTCTATAGAATAGTCCATAGACTAGTCTATAGAATAGTCCATAGACTAGTCTATGGAATAGTCCATAGACTAGTCTATAGAATAGTCCATAGACTATAGAATAGTCCATACTAGTCATAGAATAGTCCATAGACTAGTCTATAGAATAGTCCATAGAATAGTCCATAGACTAGTCTATAGAATAGTCCATAGACTAGTCTATAGAATAGTCCATAGACTAGTCTATAGAATAGTCCATAGACTAGTCTATAGAATAGTCCATAGACTAGTCTATAGAATAGTCCATAGACTAGTCTATAGAATAGTCCATAGACTAGTCTATAGAATAGTCCATAGACTAGTCTATAGAATAGTCCATAGACTAGTCTACAGAATAGTCCATACACTAGTCTATAGAATAGTCCATACACTAGTCTATAGAATAGTCCATACACTAGTCTATAGAATAGTCCATAGACTAGTCTAAAGAATAGTCCATGAACTAGTCTATAGAATGGCCCATAGACTAGTCCATAGAATAGTCCATAGACTAGTCCATAGAATAGTCCATAGACTAGTCCATAGAATAGTCCATAGACTAGTCTATAGAATAGTCCATAGACTAGTCTATAGAATAGTCCATAGACTAGTCTATAGAATAGTCCATAGACTAGTCTATAGAATAGTCCATAGACTAGTCCATAGAATAGTCCATAGACTAGTCTATAGAATAGTCCATAGACTAGTCTATAGAATAGTCCATAGACTAGTCTATAGAATAGTCCATAGACTAGTCTATAGAATAGTCCATAGACTAGTCTATAGAATAGTCCATAGACTAGTCTATAGAATAGTCCATAGACTAGTCCATAGAATAGTCCATAGACTAGTCCATAGAATAGTCCATAGACTAGTCCATAGAATAGTCCATACACTAGTCTATAGAATAGTCCATACACTAGTCTATAGAATAGTCCATAGACTAGTCTATAGAATAGTCCATGAACTAGTCTATAGAATAGTCCATAGACTAGTCTATAGAATAGTCCATAGACTAGTCTATAGAATAGTCCATAGACTAGTCTATAGAATAGTCCATAGACTAGTCTATAGAATAGTCCATAGACTAGTCTATAGAATAGTCCATAGACTAGTCTATAGAATAGTCCATATAGAATAATCCATAGACTAGTCTATAGAATAGCCCATAGACTAGTCTATAGAATAGCCCATAGACTAGTCTATAGAGGAGTCCATAGACTAGTCTATAGAATAGCTCATAGACTAGTCTATAGAAGAGTCCATAGACTAGTCTATAGAATAGTCCATAGACTAGTCTATAGAATAGTCCATAGACTAGTCTATAGAATAGTCCATAGACTAGTCTATAGAATAGTCCATAGACTAGTCTATAGAATAGTCCATAGACTAGTCTATAGAATAGTCCATACACTAGTCTATAGAATAGTCCATACACTAGTCTATAGAATAGTCCACAGACTAGTCTATAGAATAGTCCATGAACTAGTCTATAGAATAGTCCATAGACTAGTCCTTAGAATAGCCCATAGACTAGTCCATAGAATAGTCCATAGACTAGTCCATAGAATAGTCCATAGACTAGTCCATAGAATAGTCCATAGACTAGTCTTTAGAATAGTCCATAGGCTAGTCCATAGAATAGTCCATAGACTAGTTATAGAATAGTCTATAGAATAGTCCGTAGACTAGTCTATAGAATAGTCCGTAGACTAGTCTATAGAATAGTCCATAGACTAGTCTATAGAATAGTCCATAGACTAGTCTATAGAATAGTCCATAGACTAGTCTATAGAATAGTCCATAGACTAGTCTATAGAATAGTCCATAGACTAGTCTATAGAATAGTCCATAGACTAGTCTATAGAATAGTCCATAGACTAGTCTATAGAATAGTCCATAGAACATACTTTATTTGCTCCTACAAATGTCTGGTAAGGTCAAATAAACTTTTGCGCCAAATGTTTATTTCTTCAAATATTTACACAATTTCGAGATAAAAAAGATTTGGCCGTTGAACTTAGTTTTTTTAATTTAAGAAATTAAGTTCCATATTGGTGTATAAATAAATACCAGGTTATGACACTCTTCCTTCTATCGGACAATATACGTATGGTAAGTGTATGGATGTGTGTATAAATAAAATCTTCAGTTTCATACCCATACACCATGACATGCCAGCCATGCAATACAATACATTTAAAATTGTAATATAGGGTATGAAAATTTGTGTTATTTTTGGACTCGAATTAAAAAAAAAAACTCACGCGTCTGGTCTAAACTGGATTTTTGATATTTTTCTTTTTTTTTCTTCAATTTTATGTTGCCATTTCTTTGTGTGTGCAACAAACAAAATAAACCAAGAAACAAACAAAAAAAAGTTACAAAAATAAAAACAAAAAAACAAGTCGTCGCTTTTATAAGTTTGTTGTTTGTGGCATATAGAGTGTTCTTACAGCTAATCAGTGCGCCAATGTTGTACGCTGACTGCCAAAAGGATCCTGGCCATGCTTAAGCAACAAAACCACCACATTTGACCAATAAAAACTAAAACTTGTTTCGTTTGAATTTTTAAATAACACACAGAGAGTTCTTCACACAGTCAGTACAAGAAACTACTATATAATAATATTAATATTATATGAGTGTAAGCATGTGTTTGTTGTTGTTGCTGTTGTTGTTGCATATTATGCCGATACATACAAATATGCCACATCTTGAAGCAAACTATATGAAGTATAACTACACTACTATAATACAGATAAAAGATCATCATTAACTAGTTATTAAGCGCGAAATGGCGTTTTAAAACATAACTCTCCAAGGCTATTCATGACTCACGATTCAAAAAAATACAAAAAAAAAAACAAAAAACATTTATAAAAAAAATTAAAGAAAAATCTGAAAAAACAGACACAAAAACATTATCAAATCGGACAAAGAAATTTGCTTTTCATAGGCAAATGGGAATTTTATTTAAATTTCATACATTTCAACAGGCAGTTTAGGTGGTCTTTGTTGGAAGAAAAAAGAACACAAGGAAATGTTCTTTCTGGTAGACTTTTTATGGTTTATTTTTAAAGTATTTTACACTACTTTTATACTAAAATATAAGAGAAAATATTATAGCATATATTTATTAATTTACATTTTATTTAACAGCCCCTTTAGCTATCTTATGTTTCTTTTCAAATATAAACTAACTACTAACCACAAATATGACACTATTCAATACAACATTTAATGAAAACAATATTTCAAAATACTGAAATTATGTGGGTGTTGTTGTTGCTTGATAATTTTTCAAAAAAAAAAAAAAAAAAAAAAAAATGCAAAGAGAAATACAAAAAAGATAGATTTTTATTTTTGAAAAGAAAGTTGAACTTTTGGCATTTTATAATTTTCTAAACATAACAAAAAAAAAAAAAAAGAAACAAAACAAAAAAACAAAATCTTAAAAAAAATCCAAAAATGTTAACAAAATTTCTATGTAAATTATCTAATATATTTTCGTTTAATAACAATGCAACAAAATTAATCACAAATTATTGGAGGCGATATCCATGTATGACGCGCCGGCGTTATAACCACAATTGGAAACGTCAAATGGAATTTAATTATGAAAATCGTAAAATTATACCAAAATTAATATATTTACATAATCCTTGGAGATATTTGTGGACTAAGTTAAATTTATTTAAGTTTCGCTTATTTTGGGATTCAGATTTTGTGGAATCGGAATTTATAAGGGGTTCAAAACAGGTAAGGTTTTGATAAGTGATTATATTGTGTTTTTTGATTATGAAATGGACTGAGATATCTAGATACTAATTTGGGTTTCTTTCCAAGATAATATTAAGGAATTTGGGAACACTAAGGTTTGCTCTCAATTTGCTTCAGCGCTTATTTTCTTACTTGTAGAAGCGATAGTTTTAATACTAGAGGTCTGCTAGTGGTTTATATGAACAATTTCATATCAAGTGAACCAACTCAAAAAATCGATTTTGACGAAATTTGCACCAATGCTAGTACTATTGGATAGTGGGCCAGACTCAATTTTTCAGCGCTATCGGTCCAGAACTGCCGGACTTAGAGTGGGTCAAATGTATTTTGGTCATACAGGGTTTTGTTCAAATGCGTGTAACTTTTCACCTATTGGTCCCAGCAAAACTTGTCCAACGGAGTTCAGATAGCTATTTCTTCAATGAAGACAAATATGGTCCAAAAAATATAGGCAGTTAATTGCGCGTGTCTTTATAAAAATGTCCTTTCGTCCATCCGTATGTCTGTTGAAACACGAAAGGGACAATGAACTTGAAGAAATATTCTCCTCGGAATACAATTTAAAAAGTCACAAATAAGTTACCGTGACAGCAACCGTAATAAAATTTTGGGAAAATAGTTTTATGTGTCCAGAAGTTATATTGTATCAATCTATTAATGAAAAACTAATTTTCTAAAATAGGCTTTATTGGGAGAAAATGTTGACCGATCCCCATAATATTTGGTGGACGAATCTACGTCTACATAAAATAGATTTATACTGAATTTGTTCGCTTTTTGTAGAGATATAAGTATATTAAACATAATTATGAGGTCAAAATCCCTATTCGGGGGTTCAGTTGTATGGGGGCTATGTAAAATAATGGACCAATCTTAATTATTTTTAAAACTGCGATTTGTAGTTTGATTAAAAGGTTTTCATTGGAGGACAGAGATACCGACGGACAGATGGACGGACATAAATATATCGATTTAGAAATTGGTTCTAAGCCGATTGGTATACTTTAAGGTGGATGTAGGTTCAATTATTATGTGTTACAAACATCGGCACAAATTCAATATACCCTCCCCACTAAAGTGGTGTAAGGTATAAATCACAAGAAATCAATATTTTCACAAAACATTGAATCTTTCACTAAAACTAAAATTTTCACAAAAAATCGGAATCTTTCACTGAATTTCATCTTAAATTTTTCCCTAAAAACTAAATTTTCTTTAAAAGTTTTCAACATTTCATTAAAATCGAAATTTTTACTAAAAATTCATATTTTCACTAAAAATTCGAATTTTCACTAAAAAGTGAAAATTCACTAAAAAAAATCTAAATTTCTCCAAAAATTCAAATTTTCACTAAAATTTCACATTTTCACTAAAAATTCAAATTTTCACTAAAAATTCAAATTTTCACTAAAAATTCAAATTTTCACTAAAAATTCAAATTTTCACTAAAAATTAAAATTTTCACTAAAAATTAAAATTTTCACTAAAAATTCAAATTTTCACTAAAAATTCAAATTTTCACTAAAAATTCAAATTTTCACTAAAAATTTAAATTTTCACTAAAAACTTAAAATTTCTCTAAAAACTTAAAATTTTACAAAAATTCAAATTTTCACTATAAATTAAAATTGTAATTAAGATTTCCATTTAAAAAAAATGTTTCGGTTTTTCACGTCGAAATTTTCTTCCATAAAAATAAAATTTTGAAATCGATATAAAATGCAGCATTACTAGATGTGGGTGAATTCATAATATTTTTTACCTTTCACTGCTATCAGTTTAGTGAAGTTTGCCTGCCTGTCTAATGAATGTTAAGAATAATTTTTCTTTAGTCCCTGTTAGCTGCAAGATTGAAATCTTGTATCTGCCTTGAGACATGATTTCGATTTTAAATAGGATACTTCTCGAAAGCATGTATCACAGAATTATTGAAGATTTAGATCCAAAAGATATCTCCCAGAAGATATCTAGGGTCTTTGTAAAATAGATTTCAACATCTATAAGGATATATGTATATACTTTATAGGGTCGGAAAACTATATATTCTCACGATGGTGAAGCGAGGGGTTATATGAATCAAAATTTTTCTGGCAACACTAACTATAATTCACAATAGTGTACAACAGAAATCAAAGGTTTGAAGATTTACTTAAAAAAAACAATGCCTTAGCAAAGACAACAACCTGTATTGGTGATTTTAGACTTAAATTTCAACAACATACTAATTTACTCAACACACTTATGTTAATTATATAAAAAAAATCTGTTAAATTTTTCTGTTGACATTCTCTAGGCTGCAGTGGTCCTAACAAACATAATACGTGATCAAAATACCCTTAAGGTCAGAGAGTTTACCACACCCATAGGTTATCAGCAAATAACTGAAGACATGATATTATCACGTAATGATACACGTCTAAAATTGGTGCGATTCAAGACGGAACATTTACGTAGAGCTATACCCATGAAAGTGACCACAAAGCATAATTATGGTAAAGTAAAAATTTTATTTAAAATTATACTTTTATTAAAAAAAAGTCTATTTTTATTTATAGGTCGCAGATATTGTTTCATCGATATGTTGTTTGTGGGATTGCGGAATACAAAAGATTTTGATTCAGCTGAAGAGGCAGTAGAAATCAATGAGATTTTAAGAAAACTGGATACGGATCTTAAAACTCCTTACGAGGTATTGGCAGTGCCGCATCGTATAGTTTTTGCCGAAATATTTATACGTTTTCGTCGTGATTACACACCAAATTTAAATGACACTAACGATCGAGATTGGTCGGTGTCTTTTTATAAGATTTTGACGTTTGATGTGCTAAATTACGATCCCAAAGGAAGGCAATAATAAAATAAATTTCAAGTACAAAGTTCAAAGAATTTTAATAAAATGAAAACCAAGTCAAATAAGAAAATCCATCCAAATCCATTACATCTAAAAAAATGATTCCTTGTTTAAAACGCTTTGAATTTTCAAAGTTTCCTTAAGATCTTCCACATTATCGGCCTTGCTTAAGCGTTTGATAGTCTCAATATAAGTTTGATTTTCCTTTAGCAACTGCTGTTTCTGTTCTTCAAGTAGTACAATTTGAGCTTCAGCCAAGGCTTGACGACGCCAAAAATTCTTCATTAATTCTATATTATTTTTTAATTCGGCTTCTGTCATATCTACATGATCTTTAAGATTTAGAATTTCCAATTCAAAAGGTTCCTTATCGCGGTCGTCATCATCATTTAAGGGTTCTTGAAAATCACCCCAAGCTACTACCTTTTCTGATTCTGTTTGAAATTTTCTACAATTGGCCGCCAGAGACAATAACAGTTCACCATGTTTATGTAGTTTTTGAAATTTCTAAAACAATAGTTCTGTATAGCAACATGATCTGTTTTTACATCATTGTGATCCTGTAATCAAAAACTTACTTTAAGCACCTTAAAACTTTCACTACTCATTATCTTTAGCTTCTCGTGGGTCTGTTCCCGATCAAGCTTAATTTCATTTTCAATATTTTTACGTATTTGCATAAAATAAGCATGTTCTAATTTTAGATCATTGATCTTGCGCTTAGCATCGGCCTCTACTTGCAACAAATCATGCTGCAGATCGCTGTAAACACGAGAACCATGCTGCTCTACTTCATTAAGTTTATTCGATTCCGTAACAAAATTCCTTTGACGTTCCATTAAAGTATTAACTCTTTCATATTTGTGAACATCCAAAGAAACATTTCTTAGTGAATCGAGAAATTCTATTAATTGTTTGCGTAGATCTTTCATTCGTTTAGTGACAGCATCACGTAAACGATAACGTTTTTCAATTTCGGTATTAACACGATCATCACGTTTGTCTAGGAATATATTATAATCGCTTAATAGTTCCTGCTCAGCTAAAAGATCAGTAGCATGAACTACACTTTCACAATTTAATTTGATAGAATTTTCGATTTCTTTTGCTGCAGCAACTTCGTCGTAAAAATCATGCAAGATTTCTGAGGCTTGTTGTTCATACAAAAGGCGGGAAGTTTCTTGGAAAGTTTTTAAAGCATCTATGTAGAAAATAGTTGGTAAAACATAAAATTACCCATATTTGAAAAAAATTATAACACACCCTTTAAATAATCCATAATCTCTAGTTGACAGGAAAAGTTATTTTTATGCATTTCTTTTGTTATAGAGATTTCATCTAAAATAAGTTGAATTTTTTCATCTTTTTGCTGCATAACACGATTAACTTTCTTTTCCCAATCCTAATTATATTTAAAAGAATTATATTCAACTTCTTATTCAGAGCCCCAAAACCACATACCTCTAATTCCTGTTTCATTTCTTTTAATTTAACTTCCCGGCACATATTTTCCCAATGTTTATGATATTTTTTTGCGGTTTTCTTAGACATTTCAAATTCTCTATTCATAAGATCCTTGGAAATTCGTTAAAAATATTATAATATTTTATGGAAGTGCTCATAAGGGAGTTGAAAAACTTACTCTTAATTCCAATTTTTTAAATTCCATTTCTTCTTTTTGTTTAAGTTCCATTTGTTCGGCTTTGGTCAATTTTTTCTTTTTTGGTTGCTCTTTAGGCGTTTCTTCTTCTAAATATTCGGCATACAGGTTATCTGCTGGTTCTGTGGTAGTTATAGCTGTGGCCATTTTGTTATATTAAAGAATTATATGGGGTTTTGAGGAATGTTTGAAATTGTTAAATAGAAAATAAATTTCTTTTTTGATTAAAAATTAAATTAGTTATCGTTTTCTTCTCTTTTAGAGAAAATAGTGAAGCGCAATCGTTTTTTGTTGAACCAGGTTTTTATAAATCGATTTGTAAATAAGATTTCGAGTTAAAAGTATGTAATTCTCTACCAGCTGATCTATTGGACCGCCATTAAACATTTACTAGCAGTTTTTAGATTATGTGACAAAAAATAAAAAATATTGGATCGGTAACAAATTTCGAATCAAAGTACTGTTGGAGTAGAGTTAGAGTAGAAGCGGAAGTGCTTTACGTACATTCATCCCGTATCATATACACTAACACCAACTAATTTCCAACGCGTGCGGGGTATCTGTTGTCTCGGCAACAGCGCCGAACTTTTCCAGAATTATAGACTTTACCGTGCATCAGTCTTTTAACCGACATTCTCTTCCTGCGAATTCGATTTTATACCACAGTCACCGCGTACCGAAGGGACCTCTCGAATAACCGAGACAAGACAAAGCCCGAAACTCTGACCTGCGGGCTAGTGTTTACAGTGGTACCAGATTATGTGGTTCTCTGGTTCGACTCCATGTTAAATATCATCGCTATACTGATATTCTTAATCCAATTATGAGCGTTAAAGTAATGTTCTTAAAAGAATCTCTTTTGTCCCCGATATCAACTATACTTAAAAATATATTTAAAAAACATTTCCCAAAGAACTAGTCAAAGTACTAACTAGTGTTATGACTGTTACCATGACAGCTGTAGAAATAAATATCAATCTTAAATACTCTCTGAAAGGTTTAATAACTCTTTTTATGCCTATCATTTTAAAGAATTCAAAAAAAATTTCAGTTACTTTCTAGCTGTGCTATAGTCCCCCCCGCTCCCATAAATTATAGCCATATATCACATTGTTTCTATAAACAAATTATTGTTTATTACAATTATATTTGAAGAGTTTACTACTTAAAAGATATGTTTTGAAACTAAATGAAAAAAATTCCTAACATTAATTAATGAAATAAAAAAAAGTACTTAAAGTTTTAGCACCAACCAACTACTTATCAGCTTAATTTATAGATGTCATCTAGATTATCAAATGTCTTAATCGACAAAAACATATTGCGATTATAATTTTGTTATTACCTCTCAGATAAACTGTATTTTGTAGTATTTTTTAGTTTAAAATGTTTTTTAGCAACGAAAACAAATTTTGCAAAACATTTTTTTTCCATTTTTACAAGATAAAGAAATCAAGCCGACAGTTTTTAGTAGTTTTACAGCGATTGGATTAATTGTTTGATTACAATTAAGACTGCAAGCGACTGGTAGTAAAATTTGAGTCGACTAAGTTATGTCCTTCGCATTTTGGGTGGACATGACTAAGGACTAGACTAAAAACAAGATTACAGACTAGACTATAGACTAGACTAGACTAGATTATAGACTAGACTATAGACTAGACTATAGACTAGACTATAGACTAGACTATAGACTAGACTATAGACTAGACTATAGACTAGACTATAGACTAGACTATAGACTAGACTATAGACTAGACTATAGACTAGACTATAGACTAGACTATAGACTAGACTATAGACTAGACTATAGACTAGACTATAGACTAGACTATAGACTAGACTATAGACTAGACTATAGACTAGACTATAGACTAGACTATAGACTAGACTATAGACTAGACTATAGACTAGACTATAGACTAGACTATAGACTAGACTATAGACTAGACTATAGACTAGACTATAGACTAGACTATAGACTAGACTATAGACTAGACTATAGACTAGACTATAGACTAGACTATAGACTAGACTATAGACTAGACTATAGACTAGACTATAGACTAGACTATAGACTAGACTATAGACTAGACTATAGACTAGACTATAGACTAGACTATAGACTAGACTATAGACTAGACTATAGACTAGACTATAGACTAGACTATAGACTAGACTATAGACTAGACTATAGACTAGACTATAGACTAGACTATAGACTAGACTATAGACTAGACTATAGACTAGACTATAGACTAGACTATAGACTAGACTATAGACTAGACTATAGACTAGACTATAGACTAGACTATAGAGTAGACTATAGACTAGACTATAGAGTAGACTATAGGCTAGACTATAGACTAGACTATAGACTAGACTATAGACTATACTTTAGATGCCTGAATTTGGATCGCCTACTTCATGAGACATTTCAATGTACCAAAGAACCAGTCGCTGTAATAGATTTTTGTGAGTAATCTTTTCCCTAGCCATAGCACAAATTTGAGGAATTGCACAGAAATTCAGACTATTTTTCGTCAGTAGTTGTGTGGTTCCCATTCTAATCAATTAGTAACGCGCATACTGAGAAATCGAATACCACAAGTAAGTAACCCAATAAACATGAATTGTGAGCAAAGCGTGAGCAAGAAGAGGGTGTTTGAATAAAACAAAAAATAACAAACGATCATAAACAATAATGCTGCCGTTAAAGCAGTTATTTTGCTGCCAGTCGTATGAGTAGTAGTTACTGACTGGATTTGTTTTCAAACCGTATTCGTGGAGTAACAGACATTTGGGGTTTTAGTCGTTTGCAGAGACTCAAAAGCTTTAGACGGTTTTCAAGTGTTACAAGCTGCAAAAATTAATAACAAAAAAAAAAAACAACCAACAATAAATAAAACATAAATACAGTTTCAAACTCGATATTGCCAAAAAGGAAAACAATAAAAAAAATTACTGGTTTATTAGAAACTACAACAAGTTATAAAAGAAAATAAAATAGAAAACAATATATTTCTAGTGAGAAAGTTCGATAGAAAAGTGTATTTATTAAAGTATTTCAAGGAACTTGAAATTAAGCAGCAGGTAAATATTAAAAATTGTATTGCCCCTTAAAAAAATTTTGTTAAATTTGCTTAAATAACACTGACTGGCAGAAATACATACAATTATGTCAAATTCCATGATTTTCAAAAAAAATTAAATCTAATTCAACTATAATTAACATTGTGCTATTGTTGTTGTTGCCATTGTACTTTCTACACAATACAAAAAAATATTTATATTAGTTAATTGCCAATAAAATACTTATTAACTAAGAAGTATAAAATGAAATACAACAACAACAAAAAAAAAACACTGATTAATTCTCATACAAATAAAGATACAACAGAATTACTATTATGTGACATAAAGATAACAATTTTTGTTGTTTGTTAATTGGCACATGAGGAAATATTCAAAAAAAAAGTATAAAACGAGATTTAGATTTGTTTTCATTGCTAATTACGCTGGTATTAGATTTTATTAGTACATATTTGTGTTTTCTTTTAAGAAACTTTTCAAAATTTCGACATTTCTCCAAATTGCACTCAAAAGATTATAAAATTTGAAAAAAACAAACATAATAAATTTATATTCTTTTACGATTAGTTAAATAAGTACTTAAAGAAATTATTTAATATGGACATTTTTAAGTATTTAGATAATTAACAACTATATTTGTGTTTGCAGTCAAAAATTTTTTTGCCATATAAATACAACTTTCATTTATTACTTTGGTTTATTAGCCCTGTCATAAAGTTTACTTTTATTGAGTTCTTCCGTTGTGTGTTAAAAAGTTTGCGCGAAAAAATTCCTCTGCAAATAAATAATTTTGATTTTTGTGGTTTTAATTTCACGCATAGATTCAATTAATATCTATTATATAGTACGTGGAGTAAGATAAGTTTACGCGTTTAGTGTAGTTTTATAGTTTGATTTAGTGTGGTCTGTCAATCCAAACTTAACTTGAGATTTAATCTAAGTTTTCATCTCGTTAAGCTCGCATACCTGTTGGATTTGGACGTGAGCTTTTCAAATATTTTAAACGAAATTACTGCTAACTTACTCAAGTATGTATATTGATTGAAATTGTTTAACTATTTAACAAGAAAATAAATAAAAATATAACGGTTTGAAATATCGGTTGTAATAGTGCTCAGCTTTGTTTTAAATTTTAATACTATTAATAACCACAGCTAATCAAAGTTATATTCTCATTTTGGATTAAAACCTGAATTTGGGAATATTAGAGAGACATTTGTTAAGAATTTATAAAAGGGCTCAATTGATCCTATACCTATAACATCTTTATAACCTCCTCATTGTTAAAATGTGAAAATTTCCCATAGCGATTCCAATTTAGTATAAATATTAAGAAATTTAACAGATCTTTAGACAAGTTATAAAATCTGCCAAAAATTCTCAATAACATAGTGATGATCTTGACAGGTCCCCTTTATTTATTTGTGTTATGCTTCTTCTTAGTTCAATTCAATTCAATTTTGTAACCGGTACTTTTATGTAAAAATATACACAAATTTCATTTAAATTTATTCAGCATATTATCGAGCTAAAGGTGTAGTTGTCTTCATATAAACTGCAACTTTGAACGACCTTGAAAGAACCTGCCAAGGAACTTGTTTTATGTCTGTTTCTTACGCCCTACAAATAGGCTAACTTATGTAGTCTGCTCCTGTAAAAGAACTAGGGCCAGTTATGGACCAAATTCTATAGAATTTTAAAGAAAATTAAATTTTTTAGAACAAAACGTTTTTGTCGAATTTTATCTTAATGACGTTAAACTGATTTAAAAATTATGATATATATACTGCTGTAAAAATTATGATATAGGGGGTAGGTACGATCCTCATACAAGTTGGAAGGGACAATTATGTCAATATTGTCATTATATAGGGGCTAGTGTCAAATAAAGTCTGCAAAACCTCATCACTCTAACTATCCCTTGCTCTATGGACCGAACTCTATAGAAATTTAATTCGTTTTTAGTAAATAAACTAATTTTCTGTAAAAGGGGTATATGGGGGCAGGACTGATTCTCATATATTTTGGCTGAGCGAACTTTATTCATATAAAACTTAGTGGGAAATTTCAGCATTATACTTGTATCAACGTTAAGATAATTATATCCTACAACACTATAGTTGGGAGGGTATTATGCGTCAAAACACAGTCAAAACTACCTACACCCACCCACCAATGAGTCCAAAATCACTTTAATTAGTTATGTCCGTCCATCCGTCTGTGTGTCCATGTTAACCATGTGCGCACGCTACAGGTCGCATTTTCAAAATAATTTGATGAAATTTGGCACATACTCTTCTTTTGGACGAAGCCTATTGAAAATGGTTCCAATCTGTCCATTATTTCGCCCCCATACAACCGTACCCCCGAATAGGACTTTTGAGCTCATAAATATGTTAAATGTTCTTGTATCTCTTCAAAAATCGGCAAAACTTAGTTTTATAAACGTTTTAATGATACTGCTGATTTGAGTTATGATCGTTCCTCAATTTACCATATCTCCCATACAAAGTGCTCTTCAAAATACGGTTATAAACGCTAACATCACGATAATATTCTGCATAAATAACTTTAATCGCTCTATCAAAATTTATAACGACTGTGATATGAACTCCCTGCCCCCAAATCCCTTTCTTGTCAGCAAATTGTTAAAATATTTCTGAATTATGGTAAATATTAAATAACTTTTTTATTATCTAAAAAATAATCAACATTTTTATCATATGGTCGGCCATGCCCAACTATAAATTCTTGCTTAAAGGAACATTACATAGAGTTAGGGGTCAAATAAAGTCCGCTTTTCACAAAACTTTATTATCCTAGCACTCACATGCTCTATTGTGCTTTCAACAGACAGACGGTTAGGAGAACGGACTGACCCATCCAGATCGTCTAAGAATCTAATAAGGACCAGGAGTAAATTCTTTTATGGATCTGCGACCAATAAGCTTGCGAGATTCATAAGAAAACTCATATTTCTGTGGACAACTAAATTGCTTTAGAAAAGTTCAAAATCGGGAAGTACTGCTTAAGGCAATCCGATCTGATCTAATTTATATATTTCAGAGCTAAAGCATTTCCAATCTATTTGCGCTCAATATTAGATCCACGTATCTCTTATACTAATTAAAATTTTTCAAAACTAAGCTCTTATTATCAATTCATAAGTCCATATATATTATTGTTACCAAAGTTACTCTCTCCCTATCTTTACTATGCGAATGTGAATTTTCATTGTAAGAGAGATCGGTAGAGCTCGTAAAAGAATACTGTTACATTTTTGTAATTTAAATTACGTTTCTAATTAGAAAAGTGTGCTTTACTTTTTTGTTATATTATAGCCATTGTATTTACTTTATCGCAGTAAAGCAATTATGAATGAAACGGCTAATCTAGAAACCAGACATTCTAATAGATTTAAAAATACCAAATAACTCGTTTAAACGATAACTGCACTTGAAACAACTTCTTCAGTGCATTTATTGATTGATTTTCAGACCAAATATCAACTTTGGAATCGGTCATTGCTAAATTATCAAATAAAAACAATTGATAATTAACTAAATACGCACGTAATTTGAGTGACATATTAAAAATAATTAAAAAAAAAAAACAAACTTTAACAAACAAAACTTGTTTTTTTATAAAAGAAAACATTTCGATACGTTTCCTCTCAATACAAGCACGTGAAAGCAAAAATATTGTGCATAATATATAAAATTAATTAAAAAACTTTAAGGTACATACTTGTATGTCCGTAAGTGTGTATGTATAAGTAGGAATGCAATACATTTAAGTAATAATGAAAAACAATATTTAATAGCTCAAGTACTTACCTGTTTAGTTAAGTGTTTTTTTAAATGAAGTTGTAGCTTGTTGTTTGTTTTTCTTATTTTCGGCTGTTGACAAATAACTCCAACGCTAACGTGTGGTGATGCATTTCATATTTCCCTAATAAAGTCCCGTAACGAATATCATTAAACCAACACGTTAGGGAAAGACCTTATAAAAATGCAACGTAACACAGCTGATATTTTAAGCAAATTATTGTAAATTAGTTAAATAAATATTAAATGGCAAATAAGTAGATGAATTGCGTGCCAATTTGAAAATAAAAGTTCTAAAATATTAAAATGAAATATTTTTATAGCGAAGGTTTTGCAACAGTTAAAACTCATTTTAATAGTTATAATAATTTAATGATCATAGCGTGTTTGTTTATAAATAAATAATATTTACCTTATTTTCATAATAAATATTTACAGAAATCAAACCGCCGCCGTCTAAACTTTTAAGTGTAAAATTTATGGAGGAAACTTTTTAACAAGCCGATTTGTAATAACTAAAAAGAGGAAATCATGAACGAAGAACCTGCAAAGAATGGAAAAGATAATCATCATCAATTGGAATCATCAACATATGATCCGTAAGTTTATAAAATAAAATAAGATAATTTTAAACGTTTTTTATTTAAATAAAGTTCCGTTTTCTTTTTTCGGTTAATAAGTAATTTCAATTAAAGGTGTGTCGGTAAATTGCGCAATTATACAAATATTTGCAATTCTGCTACACTTGCATACAATGAACAATTGCATATACACTTACAAGTTGTTCTAGTTATTTGCATTATTTTTCTTTGAGGTTTTTATAGGTACTTAAACAAGACTTCATCATATTACTCATAATCCATTCACTAGCCACGCTACACCATTTGCAATACAATTTTATTTCAAAAGTAGCAATACTCTCAAAACCAGTTTGGAAATTCGGAAATATTCCATGAAGTTTTGTATTCCAATTAAAATAAAAACGCTAAAAATATCAACATATTTGTACAATTCACAATCGTTGTTGTATACTAAGCGTTGTATGTTATCAAATATTACAATAGTCATAAAAACAACAACAATATAATTTTTGCATACATATACATACATATTTGTCCAATTCACAATTGCTGTTGTTGTATCGTAGTATGTCGTAACTTGTATATCCAGCATCAAAAAAGATGGGTCCTTATTAAATTCTGAGACGATCTAGCCATGTCCATCTGTCTGTCCATCCGTCTGTCCGTTCGTCTGTCTGTATGCTCAAAGCACGATAGAGTCCGAACGAAAAAAAAACTGGAGAGTTTAAATTTTCCACAAATATTTCCCATAGGGAAGTTTTGTTTGGTATTGAAAATTGATCCAAGTTTTCGCATAGCCCCCATACAAGTGGCCCCCCAAAAACTAGCTTTAACAATCATGACTGTTTTAAAATGCGAGTACAGCGATGAAATTCCACATACATAAATAAGATTCATATGAGCTTAATTCTCTTTACCAAATGTTATGAGGATCGATCAATAATTGACCCTACCCCTCGTATAAGGTCTCCTCCAAAAAATTATTCTAACGCTCATTACTGACTTAGAAATACGACATAAGTAAGTCTCTTACGAGCAAAAATGAAATTCGACATAAATAAGATTCACATGAGCTATATTCTCTCTACCAAATTTTATAAGAATCGGTCCACAATTGACCTTATCCCTCTTATAAAGTCACCTTCAAAAAATTACTTTAACAACCATTACTTGCTTAAAAATACGACATAAGTAAGTTTCTTATGAGCAAAAAGGTTTGTTTGGTACTAATAATGGACAATATCGGTCCACGTTTTCGCATAAAAGTGGTCCTCCTAAAACCAGGTTTAACAATCATAACTGTTTTCAAAATGCTGCTATAGCGATGAAATTCGTCATAAGTTTCATATGAGCCAAATTCTCTCTACTAAATTTTATGAGGATCGGTTCGTTATTGACCCTACCCCTCATATAAGGTCCTCTACAAAATATTACTTTAACGCATATTACTGGCTTACAAATAAGTAATTTTCTTTGTTTGGTACTAATTATGGACAATATCGGTTTACGTTTTCGCTTAGCCCCATACAAGTGGCCCCCGAAAACAAGTTTTAACAATCATAACTATTTTAAAAATGCGAGTACAGCGATGAAATTCCACATAAGTAAGTTTCATATGTGCCAAATTCTCTCTACCAAATATTATGAGGTATTATGAGCAAAAAGGTTTGTTTGGTACTACTAATGGATGATATCGGTCCACGTTTTCGCATAAGCCCCATACGAGTGGCCCACGAAAACCAGTTTTAACAATCATAACTGTTTTAAAAATGCGAGTATTGCGATGAAATTCGTCATAAGTTTCATATGAGTCAAAATCTCTCTACCAAATGTTATGAGGATCGGTCCATAATTGACCCTATCCCCCATATAAGGTCTCCTAAAAAAAATTACTTTAACGCCCATTACCTTCTTAAAAATACGACATAAGTAAGATTCAAACGAGTAAAAATCTCTCCACCGAATATTATAAAGATCGGACCATAATTTTCCCTACCTCCCATTTAAGATCCCCCTTCAATTTCAGAAATTGAGTTCTCATTACTGACTTAAAAATAAGAGTATAGATATGAAATTCGACACAAGTCAGTTTCTTACGAGTTAAAATCTTCTACCAAATTGTATGAGGATCGGTCCACAATTGACTCTACTTCCCATAAAAGGTCCCTCAACGTTTATAAATTGTTATTAGCTTTTTCTAATTTAACGTTTTTCGAAAAAAAACTATTTTAAAACCATGAAATACAAAATAAATAGGAAATGGTGTAGAAATAATTTAAAAAAAGCTTAAGACTGCAGTCAAGAACTAGGAAATCAGATTTTCAAACGAAACGGCCTTCAACTAATATAAAGAAATACATTTGCATCACCTCCATAGTTTTACAATTATTCACAACTATATTCGGTTATTTATTCAATTCACAAACTATCGTATAAGTTGTATGAACAAAATACAAAAGTCCAATTGGTGTTGTATGCATGTATGTTGTATAAATTTATACAATATAAGAAAATTATGCTATTGTTAAATAGATTATCAGAAGATGATCACACGTTATAGTATAAATGTATACAACTGTTGTAAATACGACTTACAACTTAACAATTCATTCAGATATCATATCTTAAAGTAATCAATTTAAAATTTCTTTGTCAAGGACAAACAAACATATTTCATTTTTTTTTTGTTAATAAAAACATTATTAATCTAACTAGTATTACTACTTAAACTAGTCAATTGACACTTTAAACAAGATTACAATGCTAATCAGTTTAAGATCTCCAATAAATTAGTTAATCAAAATTAAAGTAGTAAATTAAAATCATATAAAAGATAAGAGAGATTTCAATTTCAAACTAAACAAATAAAGTTCATTAAATATAGAATTGACGTAATAAGTGGGGCCACTAAAATATGTTCGCCCCATTTACTAAGAAATACAGTAGATAATAATCTTTGGATTATTTAAATAATACAAATTTATAGTTTTATCACTCACTGTAAATTAAGTGTAAAAATTCCCCGTTGTTTTTGTTAAATCTAGATAATTTTAAATTGTTTTGTAATTTTTTTAGTGCTATTTGTTTTACATATTCACAACTTTTAATATTCGCATGCCATTTCTCACTGACTGAATTATATTTTAAGAGATAAGCATCAAAATAAAAATTAATTTTAAATAGGTAAATTTGGAATTAGTAAACTAGACCACCCCATTAAAATCTTAAATAATTTTTTTGTAATTAAGCTAAGAAACTGGGGTTTCAGTTAACAAACGATTTGATTAAAAAATTTCAGCTACACCGAATACTTATAATAACCCATACTGTAATTTAATTTGTATACCCTTCACCTTCGTTAGCAGGGTATATATAAGTTTGTCATTCCGTTTGTAATTTTTACAAGTCAAGTATATATATTCTGGATCCTTATAGATAGCTAAGACGATGAAGCCATGTCCGTCTGTCTGTTGAAATAAATTCTCTGAAGACCCCAGATAACTTAGGGGTCCATGCTTTCGAGAAGTTTCCTATTTAAAATCCGCCCATAAATAACGGAGGTATGAGTAAAAATCCGATGCATCCTTGAAAATTTCATCAAAAATAGACAAATTTTGTGTGTGTATATTGAACCTTGGAAAACTATCTATCTATCTATCTATCTATCTATCTATCTATCTATCTATCTATCTATCTATCTATCTATCTATCTATCTACCTATCTATCTATCTATCTATCTATCTATCTATCTATCTATCTATCTATCTATCTATCTATCTATCTATCTATCTATCTATCTATCTATCTATCTATCTATCTATCTATCTATCTATCTATCTATCTATCTATCTATCTATCTATCTATCTATCTTATCTATCTATCTATCTATCTATCTATCTATCTATCTATCTATCTATCTATCTATCTATCTATCTATCTATCTATCTATCTATCTATCTATCTATCTATCTATCTATCTATCTATCTATCTATCTACCTATCTATAAGACATGTTTTCCTAAATAGGGCTGAATATTTAGTTGGTTGTTTGAGTGACTGCACTTTAACATTCAAAACTCCTAACTATTGTTCTTAGAACAACTGCTGGTGATTTTGCATAGTTTTAAAACAATTTAAAATTTGTGTGTTTGTTTAAGGTTTAAAACATTCACTTTTTTTAACGTTTACTACTTGTTCTTAGTAGTTGGACACAATTAGCGATTGTTATATTAAACAATTTAAAATTTATTATATTAGTATGCTAACAAAATAGTGTGTTTATTAACACAAAATCATTAACGTCACATTCTTATGAGTTTAGTTTATTATCATTAATTTATACTGCAATTGATTTGTTTATTTGATTTGATCTTAACTATATATTTTTTAGCATAATAATTATGTGCAAATATTGTGACAAATCAAGTGATAACATGTCATACTATACTAATTAGATTAGGAAATATAAATCAATCGTTGCTTATTATGTTTTGGTAAATACCAGCTGTTATTACTTTAAATTGATTTTTGCGTATTTTAAGAAAATTCCTTTGGAATTTCTTTTTTAAGCTATTTTTAAGATTGTATATAAAATCTAAGACAAATATTTGATCAAAAATGTTGATGGTAATAAGAGTGAACAAGAAAAAAATATTGTTTTGGCTTGATCAATCCAATGTTTTGGATGTTATATTAGTATTTTGCAAGCGTGAACATTGAAAAAGTTATCAATCATGTTAAAACATTTTACCGCATACATGTTTTCAATGTCGACGAAATTGCCAAACTAAACGTTAAAGGAATGCGAAAGTTCAAATTTAATAAATTCAAACTATTGTGGGATTGGGTTGAAATTAACATAGTATCAAACACACGATAAGACCCCAATTATATTTTGAATACATGTAACAATTTATCATTGCTTATTTTTTGGAGCTTAAACGGTAATGATTTAATAAGTTAAACCGGTATTTCTTAAAAAGAAACAAAAAGTTAAAAAAGTAGTAAATATAAGTTGTTATTGAGCTTGAGTTGAGTTGAGCTGACAGTTACCTATCACCTGAAAATAACTTTCATTGTTAAATGTGTATGTAGTATAAGTTAAATAATTGATTTAAATGGAGTTAATCACTTTTGAATATGTTAAACACATTGGCAATCTAATAAATTAAAATTTTTTAATTCAGTTTCATCCCAAATTCATTGAAAATTCAAATAAAAAGTTCTTAGTTTTAAAAGAAGGCTGCAAATACTTTGTTGGAGTTAACTCATTTTGACAAAAATGTAAATTAAAGTCAAATCTGAAAAAGTACATGTTTCTTGGAACTCAAACATATTCCAATATTATTTTTAACATTCAGATAAAGTACAAATGTTTTAACTTTATTAAACAAAAATATACTATATTTTATTTTTAAACTTAAAAACTTTTTTATTTGCCACTTTTATTGTTAATGGCTAAAATCCAGTTTTTTATAAATATTTTATTTATGGAATCTTAAACGGCTTTAATCCCCATAAGAAACACGCTTTTGTTTTATGTTAAAAAGTGAGTTTGATATGGGTTATTTAGAAAAAATTAGAATTTTATAGAAATATTAAGTAATTTTTGTTAAAGTCAATAAACTAAAAGAGTTTATGCAAATTATTGTAAACTTTTATTTTTAAAAACATTTGTATATATAAGTTAGTTTAGTTTTATTCTCTGCAACCAGATATTATCGAATAAATAGCAACACTAACATGACATAGTAAAACAGCAACCTGTATGTTCAAATCTTTCAAATAAAAATAAACAAAAAAATATACGCAAAAACTAAAAAAAAAAAACTTTGCATAATGAATTTGTTTACACTCAAAAAATAATGTTAGTTCCTCTAAATAATTTCACTTTTTAATGAAAATTTTAATTTTTCTAACAATTCAGAATTTTTGACCTAATTAAAATTTTTTAATAAAAATGTTCGATTTTGAGAATTTTTAAATAATTTTAGTTTTATAGAAAATGTTTGTTAAAATTTAGTGAAGTTTTATTTTTGAGCGAAAGTTTGATTTTTTACTGAATTTTAGTAAAAAATTTATGAAATGTAATTTTTTGAAAATTTTTGAATTTTTAGTGAAAAATTTTATTTTAAAAATTTTTAATGAAAAAACTTAATAATAGATGGCGATATTCACATAAGATTTAAATGAGAGTTCCTTCTCAAATAAAAATTTATTTTCAAAACAAGAAAGTGATATTTAATGAAAAATCGATCTAAAAATGACAATAGCATCGATCGATCTAAAAATGACATTTCGATATTTTTATAAAATATTAATATTGAAATTAAAAAATTATATTGTAACGACAGTTGCTGCTCCTACGATTTTTAAACTAAAGCTCAACGTCAAAATAAAAAACCGATCTTGACAGTTCAATCTCAAAATGACAGATGTTCCATTTTTATATGAATAATTTAAAGGAATGAACTATTAATCGGAATTAAGAATAGTTTTTTTAGTTAGAGATCGATATTTATGATCTTTAGATAGAAAATCGACAGCTAAAACTTTTAATGAAAGATCGAACTTTTAGTAAACCGATCTTTAAATAGATTTAAATGAATATTGCTACTAAAATGAAAGATTAATATGTAAAAAATTATTTTCAAAATAAGGAAGTGATCTTTAAATAAAAATCGATCTGAAAATGACAATTGCATCTTAATCTTTAAATGAAATTTCGATATTTTTATAAAATATTGATCTTTAAATAAAAAAAAATGAGAGAACTGAACTTTAAGTCGAACACCAACCTATAAACTAAAGCTCAAGTTCAAAATAAAAAACCGATCTTGACAGATCACAAAATGACAGCTGTTCCATTTTTATATGAATAATTTAAAGGAATTAACTATTAATCGGAATGAGAAATAGTTTTTTTTTTTAGTGAAAGATCGATATTTATGATCTTTAAATAAAAAATTGATAGTTGAAACTTTTAATGAAAGATCATTTTAAATTGATTAAAATGAAATTTCCTTCTAAAATGAAACATTAATTTTTTAAAATTTATTTTCAAAATAAGGAAGTGATCTTTAATGAAAAATCGATCTGAAAATTACAACTGCATCTTGATCTTTAAATGAAATTTCGATAGTTTTATAAAATATTGATCTTTAAATGAAAAAATTATATTGTAACGACAGATGCAACTTTAAATGAGAGAACTGTACTTTTATTCGAACATCGATCTATAAACTAAAGCTCAAGTTCAAAATAAAAAACCGATCTTGACAGATCAATCACAAAATTACAGCAGTTCCATTTATCTTATTATCTAGAGAGAAAATCGCCAGCAGAAACTTTTAATGAAAGATTCAAAATAAAAATTCCATCTTTAAATTATATATCGATCATAAAATAAAATATTGATATTTAAAAATCGGTATTTCATTTGAAAAGCTGTAGATCTTTATTCAAAGGTAAATTTTCACTTAAAGATCTTCATCTTCAATAGATTGGTCAGCATTTAATAGACAAAAATATTCAACATATTCAAAATCTTTCATTAATGATCAAATGTTCAATCTTTTAACAAGTAAGAAAGTATAGTCGGGCTTGGCCGACCAAATGATACCCTACACCAGTTATGAATATTAAATGTGATTTATTTTTCACAATAAAGCATATATCTTAAATATTACCTTGATTCCGATTTATTTAAGCAATTTATTGACGAAAAACTTATTTTCTAAAAAAGGCTTTATATGGGGGATAGGAGCTAATGTGGACTGATCCCGATAAAATGGACTATATAGATTTGTATTTATATAATATTTGTCTGTGCTAAATTTCATTGCAATAACAGTGCTAATAAATGAATTGCGGATATTCAAGTCACTTTCTGAAGGGGGCTTTGTATGGGGGCTAGGGTCAAATAAAGTCCGATCATTCGGCAAGGTCATCAAGGCTTGTATAAAACTTAGTTGTGAGAACTTTCATCGAGATACATTTATATTATACATAATTATGAGCTTCCCACTATAGTGGTGTAGGCTATAATAAATATAGATAGATTTCTCTTTAACTATATCGTTATTACACTAAAAAATGATTTCTTATTAAATGTTTTATATTTCGTGCTCGAAGCGATCAATCTAGGGAATAAGAAGATCTTTAAGTGAAAATATTTCAGTTTTCACTGCAAAAAATATGTACAACTTCTAACCAAAGATCGATATTTTAGAATTTAAATATTTTTCACATTAACCCACTGTGAATCAGTTCTATTCAAACACATATTATGCAATATTTTCTATGAGAGTAAAATTCATTCAAGCATTAATAATAGCACAGAGAAACAAATCATTATAAATAAATTTAAATATACAATAAATTTATATTTTTGCTACAATAAAAACAACAATAGAGAATACAACAAAAAAGTGTAAACAGAAAAGTAGAAAAAAAAACAACAACAAAATATATATTAAGTTGTATCTATAGAAAAACGTGTTTTTTTTTGTTATATTAGTCCGTTTGTCTGTCTGTCCTGCTGCGATTGTAAAACAGCAACAAGCTGCTGTGGGTATTGTGAAAGCGAAAGTGACTTACCAGCTGTTTGATTAAAAGAAACACTGATTAAGCTGTCGGTTTCGTTGGTTAGCTGCTAGTCTGGTTTAAGTGGCAGTTATTTTTTAAACGGGGATGTACTCTTGCAACTACTGCTGTTAAAAAATGATTGCAAAATTTACTATTTTATTACATTGCTGATGACTCTTTGCATTAGAGCAGCCGAAGAAGCTTAGAAGTACGAATCGCTTGATTAGTTGACCTTGTTTTGTGCAATAACTGTGCAATAGCAATCTTTTTTTTAATGTTATTCAACAAGACTTTTTCTAAAAATTCCCTTCTGATTGTTAATATATATATTTCTTTTTTTCAGAAACGAAATTGTTGAAGCAGAACCGCTTAGTTGGAGATTTTGGCGAAAGCGTCGTTATATAGTGGTCTTGTTGGCATTCTTTGGTTTCTTCAATGTCTATTCTTTGCGTGTCAATTTAAGTGTGGCCATTGTGGCTATGACAGAGAATCGTACTGTGATCGATGAGAATGGCAACGAATCATGGGAACAAGATTTCCCTTGGGATCCTAAGCAGAAGGGTCTGATTTTAAGTTCCTTTTTCTATGGTTATATAATGACCCAGTTTATTGGCGGTTTTATAGGAGCTAAAATTGGTGGTAATTTGGTAAGATGTAATAGTTAAATGTTAGTTAAATGTTAAATGTTAATGATATTTTTTACACACGGACTTGTACAAATCGGTTCTGACTTCAATATCAGAAACTTAGAAGTCTATTCGATGATGTTCGCTTGTCTGTGTGTCCAAGTAAACTTTATTATTTCGTTAAAAGTCATAATTTTGAAGGTTATATGACATGAAGATGTTATGTGGATGGGTCCATTGTTTACCATGGAACCCTTATTAGGGACATATCCAAAATCACTGTATATACATCAAATCCGAAGAAATACACCTAGGCCTCAGGGGGGAATTGAACCCACCACCTCCGGTCTACCAGACTAGAACACTAATCACTAAACTACCGGAGCCCACATAAAATAAAAATCAGATATAAATTGTGGCTCTATAAAATTTTGAATACGTCCAACCATAATCGACAAAGATCCCCCTAAAGAATATCTAGGTTCATTCACTCAAAACTTCATAATTATCGAAATTGTGATACAATTTAATTAAACAATCTGGGGATTTGGTTCATGATAGAACCCATAATATTTTTCTATTACAATTCCATTTAAAACTGAAAGAAATTTTTTTGAAATTTTTTTAATAGATGTTTCGGAAGGATCACATTTAAAAATCAATGCTTCTCTATGGAGATGATTCGTCTACATTTTATTACTTTTTCCTCTCTAATGTAAAATATACATTGTTTCCAGGTTTTCGGTATTGGTATTGGCACCACGGCCATTTTAACACTATTTACACCCATGGCCGCTAAGCACAGTTTGGAAATGTTACTGGCAGTGCGCATTATCGAAGGTATCTTTGAGGTAAGTACAAACTTGGAACTTAAAAAGCCACATTTTCGTTTTAAAATCAATTTTCTTTTTTAAAACCACTTTAGGGCGTTACCTTCCCCTGTATACACGCTGTATGGTCCCGTTGGTCCCCACCGCTAGAACGTTCACGCATGGCTTCCATAGCTTTTGCCGGCAACTATGCTGGTACTGTTATTGCCATGCCTTCGTCGGGACTCTTGGCTTCAGCCTACGGCTGGGAAAGTGTATTTTATGTATTTGGTGTTATTGGTTGTATTTGGTTGGTCTTGTGGTTGGTTATTGTACGTTCGGGACCCGATAAGGATCGTTTCTGTTCGGAAGATGAACGTAATTATATACAGAAAACAATTGGCATTACAGGACAACAAAGAATCAAACATCCCTGGAAAGCCATATTTACTTCGTTGCCATTCTATGCCATTGCCGTATCACACTTTTCAGAAAATTGGGGTTTTTATACTCTATTGACTCAATTGCCAACATTCCTTAAAGGTAATTTAAACTAAATATACAAATTAGGTTTGGTTCCACCTAAAAATTTTGAACTTGATACTAATTTTTTTTTGCTTTTACAGATACCTTAAACTTTAATTTGGATAAAACTGGTTTCCTATCAGCTGTGCCATATCTTACCATGGGTATCTTGTTGGGTGTTTCAGGCTATTTGGCCGATTGGCTGCAAGTCAAGGGTTATTTGACCACCACACAAGTAAGACGTTACTTTAATTGTGGTGCTTTCTTAGCACAAACTGTTTTCATGGTACTCACCGCCTATTTATTGGATCCTACTTGGTCCGTGGTGTGTATAACCATAGCTGTAGGTTTGGGAGCATTTGCCTGGTCTGGTTTTGCGTAAGTCTTTTAGTTCTTAAATTAATTAGAATATATAACTAATTTATTTTTATTCACAGCGTTAACCACTTGGATATTGCTCCCCAACATGCTAGTGTTTTGATGGGCATTGGCAATACTTTTGCCACCATACCCGGTATTGTTAGTCCCATGTTGACCGGTTATTTGGTACAAAATCAAACCAGTGAAGAATGGAAGACTGTATTCTTTATTTCTGCTGGTATTTATCTAGTAGGCTGTGTTATCTATTGGATGTGGGCCTCGGGTGAATTACAAGAATGGGCCAAATCACCCGAACAAAAATCACTCGAAATGACTAGACAAAAAACCGTCACAGAGGGTTATGTCAACGAAGCCTTAGAGTGCAAAGATGAAGTTAAAGAAAATCATAGTTAAGTTTAAACACCCACACACCAATAGTTTTAAGTTTCGAAAGAATTTCCTTTTGTAATATATACAAAAAAGAAAAAAACGATATATCACAAGATAAAAAGTATTGTAAATAATCATTTTATATATATTTTATTATAAGAATATAATTAAAATTAGAATTTATTTTAAATTCTTAATATAATATTCATTCAACACACTTTTGTTGTTTTTCACACTTTGCGCGCTTTAGTGAGGTCAATACACTGTGCACAAATATTTGAAAGCAAATAATCATTTAGCCATATAATAAAATTTAAAAAAAAAATATAAGAAAGAAAAAATTCTGCAAATTGCATTCGCAATGTTTTGAATCATCAAAAGAAATAATCAAATCGTAAAATTATGGTTGTTGATGTGACAGCCAAAGCAGTGAAAAACCAAAAATAATTTCAATTAAATGGGCAGAGAAAAATTGTGTAGGAAGAGGTAAACAAAATATATATTTTTTTTTTTGTTAAAAATTTATTTACCATAAAATTTTAAGTGTAATTTTAGTATTGAGGTAGAATTTTAAATAACCCTTTAAAGATCATTCTAAAAAGAATTTCCTCTCAGAGCCTTTGGCTTTAAATGAACCCAAGGACTAATTCCGATATCGAATTGTTTTAATTGATCTTGGAACTGAAATAAATCTTGAATGAAGTGTAGTTTATAATACTCAACCCGAGACAAAGGACGATCCAAAGAGACAAATTTTAGTCAACGAACAGGAATTTTCCGCAAAAACTCGAAGTAAATATTTTTTCACCATTTCCTGTTAAACTATGCCAAAAAGCAGCCAGAAACCGTCAGATTTAGGTTTTTTAAAAGACGCTAGAAAACGTCAAATTTAAACAGAATGTTTTACCAAAAAAATGTTTCTCAAAATTAAGAATATTAAAGGTTTTCATATAAACGTTCAAAAGCCTCGCATTTTGGATTAGAATATAGACTATAGACTGTACTAAAGACAAGACTATAAACTATACTATAGACTATAATATAGACTATAGACCACAGACTAGACTATAAACTCGACTATAGCCTAGACTATACTATAGACTAGACTATGGACTAGACTATAGACTAGACTATGGACTAGACTATAGACTAGACTATGGACTAGACTATAGACTAGACTATGGACTAGACTATAGACAAGACTATAGACTACACTATAGACTAGACCATAGACTAGACTATAGACTAGACTATAGACTAGACTATAGACTAGACTATAGACTAGACTATAGACTAGACTATAGACTAGACTATAGACTAGACTATAGACTAGACTATAGACTAGACTATAGACTAGACTATAGACTAGACTATAGACTAGACTATAGACTAGACTATAGACTAGACTATACTAGACTATAGACTAGACTATAGACTAGACTATAGACTAGACTATAGACTAGACTATAGACTAGACTATAGACTAGACTATAGACTAGACTATAGACTAGACTATATACTAGACTATAGCCTAGACTATAGACTATACTATAGACTAGACTAGACTATAGACTAGACTAGACTAGACTAGACTAGACTATAGACTAGACTATAGACTAGACTATAGACTAGACTATAGACTAGACTATAGACTAGACTATAGACTAGACTATAGACTAGACTATAGACTAGACTATAGACTAGACTATAGACTAGACTATAGACTAGACTATAGACTAGACTATAGACTAGACTATAGACTAGACTATAGACTAGACTATAGACTAGACTATAGACTAGACTATAGACTAGACTATAGACTAGACTATAGACTAGACTATAGACTAGACTATAGACTAGACTATAGACTAGACTATAGACTAGACTATAGACTAGACTATAGACTAGACTATAGACTAGACTATAGACTAGACTATTGACTAGACTATAGACTAGACTATAGACTAGACTATAGACTCGACTATAGACTCGACTATAGACTAGACTATAGACTAGACTATAGACTAGACTATAGACTAGACTATAGACTAGACTATAGACTAGACTATAGACTAGACTATAGACTAGACTATAGACTAGACTATAGACTAGACTATAGACTAGACTATAGAATAGACTATAGACTAGACTATAGAATAGACTATAGACTAGGCTATAGACTAGACTATAGACTAGGCTATAGACTAGACTATAGACTAGACTATAGACTAGACTATAGGCTAGACTATAGGCTAGACTACAGACTATACTATAGCCTAGACTATAGCCTAGACTATAGACTAGACTATAGACTAATGATGGACTAGATTATGGACTGTACTGTAGACTAGATTATGGGCTAGACCATAGAATAGAATATACATTATACTAGACACTAGTGTTAAGAGTAGACTAAAGACATTTGTAATTACTCCATTTTATTTTATACGTGAAAAAACGTCAAAAATCTCTGGTTAAAAATCGCCAAATTTCCCGCTAACCGCTAAACGCATTTTCTTCTAGCCATTTCAGAAACGTCAGATTTGACGGGAAAAACATCAAATCAGCTACACTGCTTGTGATAAGAAATTTAAAGTTAGATTCAACAAAAACATAGTTGAGAGAGTAAGAATATAAAGACGAAAAAAATGGGCACTCTAACTGGATGTCAGGGATGTCAAAGTTGATACCATCGTACTTTTTTTTTTTGATAATATCTGATATTAGAAAAGGAGGGAACCTTTTGTTCAAAAGATCGTTAGGAGGGGCGAAAATAAAGTGTTAAGATTTTGGGTGACATCATATCTTGAAGTAGGAAGAATATAAAACTGAGGTTAAAACTTTATTTTAAAGCCGATACATTGAACTTTCAGATGTCATAGAAAGTTTTATAAATAAGGTATCAAATATAGCCAAAAAAGAGTTCCTTTCAATTCTTAGGATACGATATCTTGAAATACTGTATACATAAAACAGTCGCGGATCCACGGGGAAAAGGGAAATTTAACACCCCCCCCCCCCAAAAAAAAAAAAAACCGAAAATTTCTCATACAATATATAAAAATGAGGAAAAAGAAAACAGAATATAAGCAAAAAAACAACCCCCCCCTAAACGCTTGACCTGGATCATAATCATAAAATTATTTAAACTACATATATCGAATAAGACACACATTTGAAAAATATAGAAATTTAGACTTTAGAGCGACGGTAAAACGGAGAATATTGAATTATGACAGTCTGATAGCTGCAGATAAAAAAAATATACTCAATTTAACATTGTGATATCCAAGGCAAAGACCACGTAAAAAACTAACCCCCAATCTTCTCCCTTGCAAAAGATGTGGGAGCACATAATCCGCAAGAGGGTGCCATTTAATGCCGGCTCCATGCCAGCATTACATGAAGTCTAATAATGTTTACAGGGGAGTAGTTTTGGGTTACCTAAATGAATAATGTACTCCAATAAGTTTTACATGGTGTTATTTGAACGTTTTCTTTGAAAGTAATTTCCAACTGTCAAAATAACAGAAACCATTTATACAGTTTTCATTCTCATATTATAATATCGAAAAATATTTGCAAATTGAAAATTAAATAAAAAAACACACTCTGAATATTCGAGAAATGTGCAAAATATGTTTTAATTCGAAAAATATTTCCATTGTCCTTCATTAAAATACTTTTCAAATAAAATTAAGTAGAATTTATAGAGATTATGGTCAATTGACCTAATTATATATAAATTCCATTCATAAAAACTGATCCAATGTGTCACATTTCTTGAAACAAAAATGTGCAAAGAAAAATTAGAACAATAAAGTATTGAGTTAAAAGAAAAAAATAACGGTATAAACGAATTAAATGAACACTATACGAGTATTAAGACTATAAAGAAATGTTTGGTAGGTAGTACTTAATTTAAAAGTCGCAAATTTTTATATAATAATTCTGACAAATGGGCCATGTGTGTTTGTTTATTTACCTTTTGTACAAAATAATAATAATAAACAAAACGTATGTACTTTGGCATTTAAATTGTTTACTTTAAATGGTGAAAAAATTTTTGAAAAAATAAACATTGTTTTATTTTAACAAGTATTTTCTTAAAACCCACAACAAACTACCAACCAAAATTTTTTCTGGCTAAAATATTTTTCAACTATTTTGGCGAATCTTGATTTTGTTCATTGAATTATATTATAGTTTTCATCAAAGGAATTTTTATGAATGTGAAAACATATGAGAATTTACAAAAATAACAAAAAACACTAAAATAATAATAACAACAACCAAAAATAAAAACAACAGCAAAGAAAACGTCAGCAGCAATTTTCACAGCAGCAACAGCAACAAGAAAAATTGAAATGAAATGAAAAGCATTGCTTTGCTGCTGCTCCCTCTCAGTTTATTGTAAACACAATATTGGAATTTCTATAATTTTGGCAAAAAGCCAAGAATAATTTTAATTGAAATTAATAGTCAAATTCTTAAGATTCTTAAGGTGTATAAACATATTTTTAAACATTATTTACAGAATGTTCTTTCTTTTTTTAAATTTTTGCGTTTTTTCTTTTAATATCTTTATTTCTGGCCAATTCACAACAATACTACACAAAAGAATATTGACTGGCAGATTGAGTGGGGAAATTAGTGAATGTTTTGTATATAGATTTGAATGTATTTTTTATTTCATGTTTTTTGGGAGGGATTATAGAATTGTTCAATAATTAAAAATTTTAAGAATTATATTGAAAGTTTGTATTCTTCTTTCCAGTCATTGCAATCGAACCTTAGGCCTCATGAACCTATTGTGGCCTCACGACAGGCTACCAATATACCTTAGTTATAGTGTATTTTTACTAAATAAGTTAAAATCGATTTAATTAATTATTCCTGTTATTCTTTAGTTGTTAACCTTGAAATCTGTTCAGTTTTATTTAATCTTCTTTTGCTACTAGCAAATATTTTAGAAATCAATCATCGATAGAATTTTGTCGAAATTACTTTTTGTCTGCTAGCAAAAGAAAACTGTCAAAATTATTTCTTTAAAAACAATTAAAATTACTTTAGTCACACCTGCACAAATAAAAACAATAAGGCCACTCATGTTTATGCGGAAATGCAATTTCAAAAATTGTGTCAAAAATTTTTTGCACAATATCCTCAGCAAAAAATCTTCAAATTTTGGTAATGAGTAATCTAGATAATGTAGTTATTTAATATATTACCTGGTAATAAGTAGTCGTTATCAATAACATTATCTAGAGGATCAGTCTAAAGCATCTATCCAAAGTTTGTTGTTTCGAATCATAGTCATAGCCCAGCAAAAAATCTGAAATTTTTGGTAATAGCCAGTAGTTATTTCATACATTACTTGGTAATGAGTGTTCATTATCATCCACACTATTTCATTTAGCTGAATAGGTTATTACTGGTAAAGAACAAAACAATTTGGATTTGTTATGGCTCAATTGTCTAGGTCGTTCATTTAACAAACAGGTGGTTCGTGGTTCGAGCCCTGCTGGATACTGTTTATTTTTTTCAAAATGACATTCATTTATATATTTTTGTAAAAAGCCGTTCTCAAAATTATAAAAAGCAACATGTTAATGGAGCATCGAGTAAGAGGCTGGAGTGAGAAACATAGAAAACAACAGAATGCCTGGGTTCAAATCTCGGCCGAGGAATTTTTTTATTTTTTGTTTTCTACATACAAAGTCGGCCCAAAATAACTAGCTATCACATAACATATTTGTAGGTTTATTTGTAACTAGTTATTTCGCAAAGTTTTTGTAATCAAATTAGTAACCATTTATTAATTTGTTTAAGGTAGGTACATATTATTTGAACCTCGTCGAACAAAAATAATTAGTTATTCACCCCAAAAGTAATTAGTTTCCACGTGATTCCAATATTACTTTCTAGATTACTAGGTAATGAAAATTTTTGCTGGGAGATATCAGTATTTTTTTAAAAAACGTGGATTTATGCTTTTATGTTAAAACTATTCAAAAAAGTACTATAAAATAACTTGCCAGTAAAAACTTTACATGGTAAAGGAGTTAAAATGCTAAAATTTACTTACACAATAGCATTTTATGTCATTATTTTAACAAGGTGATGTCATTGGAGGCAAGTACTTACCACAAACGATTACAAGTAATTAGAAAAAGTAGTCATTGTAAATCGCATGAAAAAAGGTACACAGCTTCTATATCTTCATTGGCAAGATGAATAATGAATTAGAAAGTATTTATATAACACATTATTAGTAAGACCTTATTAGACTACTTATATGTAATCCAGACGGTATATAGTAGTCATTGAAAAGTATGTTGTTAGGAAAGTAATTACAATTGAAAGCCATTACCTAGTTTTTGCAGGGATGTAAGGAGTTAAAATGCTAAAATTTACTTACGCAATAGCAATTTAAGTCATTATTTTAACACGGTGATGTCATTGGAGGCAAGTACTTACCACAAACGATTAAAAGTAATTAGAAAAAGTAGTCATTGTAAATCGCATGAAAAAACGTACACAACTTCTATATCTTCATTGGAAAGATGACTAATGAATTGGAAAGTATTTATATAAAGCATTATTAGTAAGACCTTATTAGACTACTTCTATGTAATCCAGACAATAAGTGGTGGTCATTGAAACATATATTGTTAGGTAAGTAATTACAATTGAAAGCCATTACTTAGTTTTTGCTTGGTTGTTAATGGAGCACTGAGTAAGCGGAAAGACTAATAAACACAAAAAATAACTGTAGAGCCAGGTTTAAGCCCGGGTAAGCACATTTGTAACCAGTTCTTTTTTGAACCTCGTCGAACAAAAATAATTAGTTATTCAGCCCAAAGTACTTCCACATTGCTCCAATATTACTTGCCTGCTTACCGGGTAAGTAAAGTTTTTCCTGGGATCGTTAATTTAGCAATTTAATATTGTAAACAAGAACGACATAATCGGAAGATTTCCTGAGGACTTAATATATTTTTTATAGTTTTCTAGATCCCATTGTTTAAGGACCAACATTTTAGGGAAATTGTATATATTTTTCCTCTGAGTCTTCTAGTAACAAGGGAATGACGAATGATTTTCATATATTTTGATTCAAAAAATTGCTTCCATACCGATCGGAAGTGAAATTATTTTAAGTAAATAACTTGACTAAAACTATGAAAAGCAATAATTACGATATTTCTTTTAAAAAATTGCAAATGATTTCATTCCGAAAAAATTGTCGTTTTACTTATTCTGAAGTATTTGGTTTCTTTACTTTCGATAGGAATTGAATTCTGTGACATCCAGATTATCATTATCCCTTATTTTAAAAAATATCCCATTTTTACTAGACTTTGCATAGCAGATGGACAAATATTTTTGCTTCTTAAAGTTTTGTTCTTGAGATCAATAGATATTATTTCGGGTCTTATACTGGGCGATATATATTGATTCAAAATTGTTTTTTTTCAGTGAATCGACTTATTTTGGACCTTATTATTTAGGCTTTATAAGAAAATATATATTTTTTTAATTTCAAATTTCTGGGGTGTAGGTACATTTTTTCGTATTCTATCATTATTCTATTATAATGTTAAACTATTGGAATAATTTATTAACTATAAACGGATTTTCTGTAAGAGTTTATATGGAGGGCAGGGTCAACTATGGACCGATCCTCATAAAATTCAATATATAAGTTTCGGTTTATAACAACCTTTTTTTGGTGGCGAATTTTATCATTATACCGACATTTTAAAGCCAGCATTAAAGCAATTTTAGAAAGGGGGACCTTATATGGGTCGTAGGAGCCGATCCTCATAGTACTTTGTAGAGAGTTCGGTTAAAATAAAACTCGTTTATTTCAAATTTCTTTGGTATAATTTTCTGATAAAGACCTTATATGGGGGATAAGGTTAATAATGGACTGATAGTCTTTGTTTTTCTAGATTTTCATCGATATTCTTGCATGCATTTTTAAGCCAGCTATGAGATTTAAAGTAATTTTCTGATTGTTTAATATTTATTCCGAGGGGCCAGTTGTATGGCCCCTCGGCCATTGTACCAAATAACAATAAACCCTATAGCGTTTTTCAACCGGAACTTATAGTGTTTTCAACAGACGGACGGACATGGCTAGATCGTCTTAGAATCTAATGATGATCCAGAATATATATATACTTTTAAGGGTTTTAGACAATTATTACGATATGTTACAAACAGAATGACAAAAACACTGCTATCTTTTTTAATGGTGGGTATAAAAATTATATAATTTTACAGGAAAGGAAAACCCATTTAATGTTTAGAAGCTATAGATTTAATAGGAAAATTGCATGTTTATTTGTATTGACTAATGATGGTCTAAATCGGATCTTGTAGAATTTTTGGTTGTGCGCTTTTGTCTTCTAGTTTAGATGAGTTGCAGAAGTTGCTGCAATCATAAAAAGAACAATAATGGCTTCAACTCCAATGACTGACTGAATTTTTACAAAAATCAAGCACGTATACATGATGTAGTCCTAAAGAGACCAATTTAGATAATAAAGTCCGAGAGCATGAGGAAAGAAGTATTAAAAAAGTGTTTATATGAGTGCTCAGTGTTAAATAAAAACGAAATATATATATTTTCCGAGTGTTACTACAAAAGTCGGTTTAGGAACTATAGATCTTAGAAAAAGATTTAAAAATTAGCTTAAACATTCCTTATAAGAATTTAAAACAAAGTAATGTGAATAACAAAATAAGAATGTTAACATCCGCTATTTATAATTTTATTTTTTGATACTATGAACTCTTTTCTGTTTATTTAAAATAGATTTGAAATATAAGAATTAAATCATCTGACAAACAAACAAAATAATGAACAATTGTTTGGCAGTGTATTTACAGTAAAATTTTAATTATTTGTCTCATAACACATCACCTGTTTAACAAATTAGTGGGTGGTTCTGAAAAAAGCAAATATGATAAATGAAATCACATTTTTTTAATTATTTTAATTTCCTTTTATTTTTATAAAACAGTTTAAACACGATTATACTGGTCTGACGGGATTGAACTAAGGCATTACAATTTTAAAACAGCTAACGGCAAAGAGTTATACAAAAGCTCTCTGATTGATATGGTCTCTTTTATGAACATGTAGGCTAAAGTACATGTGAGAGCAGGAGAGTAAGAAGGATCAAAAGGAGTTCTCTGCCGTTAGCTGTTTTAAACAAAATGTTCTGTATTTTTAAGTAACTATTCATTATTATTTGAGCTTCCAATATTCAAGACTTTACTGTACAATACAGCCACTTTGACTTGTGATTTTTGGCACAGCAAAACTCTTATTACATCTGCATGTTTACCTGAATTCCTTAACGAATCAATTATACATTGTTGTTGTCAACATGTATGACATGCTGCCAACAATTCACCACTTCTATTTCACTTCTTCACCCACAGACTAAAAGCCAACGAAATATTCACCAACAACCCCCCCCCCCCCCCCTTCGACCAACAGAGGTGTTGTTCATTCATTCGATTCGGTATGTGTGTGATGTACAGTTCGAACACAAACACCAAACAACAGCAATAATAACAAAAGAACCAAAAAAATATATATTGAAAAACGAAAATTTACGTTTGTTTTAAAACCTAACGATGATGAACAGTCAGTTTTTTAACGCAGAGTAGAAAAGACCTATTAAATTTGAATAATAGCAAAAAAAAAAAAAAACATTTGAAATAAAACATTTTAAACGATAACAAAAACAAAACAAATAAAACATTGAATAAATAATTAAATTAATTGTAACAAATAAAAAAACTAAATAAATATTTAAAAAAATGCAAGTTTTGGAACAAAGAGAATCAATTTTAAATTCCTCCAATGAAATATTTGAAGGCTGCAAACAACAAGTGGAAGGAATTAATACAAAATTAGATGAAAACAAACCACAAAGGTATGCAACAATTAATAAATTATAAATCAATAAATTATTTAAACAATTTCAATAGTTAAACATTAATATTTCTGCCAATAAGTGAAAGTTTAATTTGTCAAGGAAAATAGAAAAACATTAAAAAAACTATGTATAGTTGGCCAAATACCAAAATGAATTTTTTTCTTCTTCAATATCCAACAATTTTCTATTAGTCAGCATTTATGTTGTATGTGCGAATTTTCCTCCTCGTTGTGTGAAAAATTTGCTGTTTTTTTCTTTTCAACTATTTTGTGTCTTTTTTTTTTCATTTTATTTGGTATTTTTTTGTTTGTGTCTTTGGTAAACAACCCTCCATCAACGCCATAAACAAATACGTTGAAAAAGCAAAAAAAAAATTAGTAAAATGAAAATTTTTGTTGGTTGCCAACAAAAGAAAAACTGAAAAGACACACATTCCATTCTACTCCTCCAACATCCAACTGGCGACATGTCTAATAACTACAAAAACAAATATACCTGCCAAAAACAAATTCCTGACTATTTTTATAAATATTCATTTAGATTCAGTTCTTTTTTACAAGTTTCTTGTTGGTGTTTATTTTTATTTGAAAATTATGAGTGAATTTTAATTCAAAACTATTTTCATTTCCATACAATCAACCAACAAACTAATGACGTATTTTTTATAATTTTGTGGATTTTTTTTTATAATCCCACTTCTTTTCTAGTGGTTTTGTTTGAGATAAACAATATTAAAATAATTTTATTTGTTCCGCCAAAACGAATTTGTTTGCGCTCTCTTAGTATATAAATGGAAAAAAAAGTCTACACAAAAAGACGTCACTAATAGTAGAATATAGAATAGTATGAAATAAATTGTTACTCACTCGTTCTACTTGTAGCCGGAAGTACAAGAAATATTAACACTATTTATGACCTACCATATTCTGGAGAGTACTGAGTACTCTAAGCCAGGGTTTCTCAATTTTAACTAGAATAAGAAAACTAGTTTATTCTTCAAAATTCCATAAGCAATCTTTTTTAACGATTTAGTATTCGTATACTCGATTTACGACTTATAGCTTAGAGCGTAATTGAACCTGAACAGTTGATCTATCCGAACTGTTGAATAAACTTTTAAAACTAAAATAACTCAAAACAAAATATTAAACAAGTAAAAGTTCAATATTCAAAGACATGGATCCCAAAGATATCTGGGCTCTTCATAAAATTGATTTCAACAGACGGACATGGCTTAATCGACTCCGCTATATATCTATCTATCTATCTATCTATCTATCTATCTATCTATCTATCTATCTATCTATCTATCTATCTATCTATCTATCTATCTATCTATCTATCTATCTATCTATCTATAGGGTCGGAAATTACAAACGGAATAACAAACTTATATATACCCTTCTCACAAAGGTGAAGGGTATAAAAAGTTTTTACATTGTATAAAAAGTCCGATGTAGCGAAACCGAAATATCTAGAGAACTTTTTTCACATACTATTCTACAGAAATCAATCAAATTCTAAATTCAAATGATGATTTTCGGTCAATTGCAGAAGTAATTTCCAGTCTACTGTCTTTGCTTATGCGGTTAACTTCTAGTATTCTGCCTGGAGGCTCCTCATTCTGTATAGAGATATAGAAACCTCTTCGTTTATAGAAATTTGAATTAAAGTACCTGTATTGCACTCGATCTAACCAAACCGAATTATTTAGAGAACTTCTTTCACTATACTGTTCTACAGAATTCGATCAAAATCTATATAAAATTTAAATCAATTTTGGGTCAATTGTAGAAGTAATTTCAAGTTTACCGGTTCAGTGACTTCTAGTACTCCACCTACATCAACCTATTTTGTTCTGTGGTGTTTCAGGCTTCTCCGATACAGGCCTACAAACCTCTTCCGTAGATAAAACTTTGGGTTCGGTTTTACGGTTTTGGAATGTAACGTGATTCTTGATCAATTTTGAAGTTAAAGACCGACCATCAAGACTATATTTTGAATAGATTTCCAAGAGTTTATTTAAAAGTCGGTGTCTAATATAGCATCTGAATTAGACTAAGCAATGACTGAAAAGGATATGAATTTAAACCAAATTTAAACTGAATTAAATCACATACGGTTCCAATACGTCGGCATATCGTGTTAGACAAAATATCTAAAGGAACATTGGTTTTCTCTCGAGTAGTTAAGGAAGATTCATGGAATGATTCAATTTCAATAATACTTATGAAGTTAGGTCTAAAGTTTATGCCAATAAAGAGCCATTCGTCGATTCCGCGACAAAATCATGATAAATTGGATCTCATTTGTCCTTACCACATGTAAGGGGACCTTTTTTGCGAAGTTATTTTCCAATATTAGATTTTTTCGAAAGGATCTATTTCATAAAAGATATTGGTTCGTATTTTATATATAAACTTTGCGAATTATCAATCTAGATTTCTATTATAAGCCATGAATCATATTCTTAGTCAATAATTTCAAATTCTGTGCGGAGAATACTCAAGAGGTTAGAAAAATGTTAATACTGATATAGAGATTTCCCGTTTAAAAATTGAAAGAAGGCATTGGAGAGATAAATAGATTATAATGTTAACATGAAATTAAGAAAACACAATTTAAAATGAAAAACTCCCAAGAAAAACTATGACGAAATTAATGGAACAGATTAATAAATGACAAAATCAGTTGTTCCTTTCAATACCAAATCTTTTGAATATCAACAATGTTTTCAGAAGTAACAAATGAATGGAACAAAGTGTAGTACACAAATAACAAATACTCTTATGAACAATATATTCCTCACAATTACTTAATACACATTTAGTAGTATGGGTTATAGTAGAGGGAGAGCATAAGAAGCGGGAATGCTTCATTCCATTCAAGTTTTAAAACAAACAATTTCTAAAATAGCCTAATATACAAAATTGTGGGGGTGTAGGTAGCTTCTTAGTCTTTTAGATGCTTTGCTCATCATTAAATAAGAAAAAAATTGAGAATTTTGAAAACAAAAAACACAAATAAGAATGATTAAAATAAAATTGTTTATTTGACGTCAGCCAGGTTGGTATTTGTTTTTCTGGACGAAAATAAATATCGACACATTGAAACGTAATTAAGAGATATTTTTTACTAACACCTTATTAAAACTAAAAATAACTAAATTATTTATGTTTTTCAATTTATTTATTTACAGTTTTCAAATTAACCCGGTAGTGCCAAATTTTCTGGGAGTTTCACAGCTGCTGCCCAGTCTTTATCTATGTGGGGCCAGTGTTATTACACCTCAGATGTTAACACAACTTGGCATTAATTTTGTTATTAATGTGGCCTCAGAATTACCGGATACTCCTCTGCCTACAGCAAGCAAAATTTTATATTTACGCATAAATGTTTCGGATAGTACTCATACAGATCTATTAAAACATTTCGATGAGGTATCGGAAATGATTGAAGAAATAAGACGTAATGGTGGCAAAACATTGGTACATTGTGTGGCTGGAGTTAGCCGTTCGGCCACCTTATGTCTGGCCTATTTAATGAAATATGGTCAAATGAATCTTAAAGATGCCTTTTTACATGTCAAATCTATACGTCCTCAAATCAGACCAAATTCAGCTTTTATACAACAGCTGCGCTGTTACGAGGAGCAACTTTTGGGTTTACAATCGGTTAAAATGATTTTTATGGAATGTTTGCAAAAAGAGATACCCGATGTTTATGAAGCTGAGTATCGTGCTATGGAAGACTTCTATCAAAGACAACGCACTATTTTCAGAAAACGTCAAGAGGACAAAGCTATTAAAACATAATTTTCTTTAAAAAAAAAGAGTTCCTAATAGAACAATTCAACAAACCACAGGGATGTGAAGAGCTTTCACACTAAACAACTGCTTAACATTGCAACGTTTTGTCTTTGTTCTGTTATTTGTGTGTGTGTTTTAGTAAACGAAAGCTTTTAATTTGCAACGTGATTTTCATATTCAGCAGAGATGGACGGAGAGAAAATCACTGGACCATATAGTGATGGAATGATTTTTTTAGATGTATGTGCTTGTTTCAGAAAAAAATAGCAAAAAATCGAAAATAGATTTTTTTTCACAAAACTTTAATGTTTCACAGAAAACTTCAACAAAAATGTGTGTGTAGCACAAGTAGTCACACGAGTTCACTAGATGTAACTTTAGACAATCACTCTTAAGATGTTTAAGTAATTAATAAAAAAAAAAGTAAAATAATAATTTTTTATAAATTTAATGTTATTTTTAAAACTTTATTAAAAATTAAATAAAACTTTAACTCTTAAGAGTAAAATCTAAATTTTATCTGCCTTATTCATAAACATTTAACAAAGCTTTATAGAACAAACTTCGATTTTAGAATCGAAAATTCTTTTTTTTTTTGTGTTTTTTTATTCCAAATAATATTGATCCAGATATATGTTTTTTTTTGCGTCATTTCCCGAACGACATAAATATTTGTCATTCTTTAAAAATATTCTTAATTATTAAAATGTATTTATGTCTTTATTAATTTGTGGTACGGCGCATAAACATAATATAAGTTGTTTTTTTATGTTTTCGATTCTCTTTTATACTTTTTTTTATAAAAAAAAAAAAACAGTGAAACCCAGATAAAACAATTTCACCATTAGATGAAAATTTCGAACTTTTATTCGAATTAGAATTCTAATCGACTGAAGTATTGAACTTTGACACATTAAATGCTAATATAGGTAAATATTTGGCATTCTTTATGTCGTTATTATTTTGAACCACACATAAACACAATACGTATTAGATTCTTTTATACACAGTGAAACCTGGATAAAACGTCGTTATTATTATAAGAAACAACAATTTTGGTTCGCTGTAAGAAAACTCATATTTAGAACTAACTTGTACTAATGATCTGAACATTAAGATATTTTGTATCGACATTGGTAAGGGAACAAGCCGATCTCACTTTAAAGTAGAAATATGTTATTTCGCGGAATGACGGACATAGTTAAATGTATTTTGACCCGATATATTTTAAGTGTTATTCATGTATGTATGTGATGAAATATGATTTCAAAGCTACATTAGCAAATAGTAAATCTATCTTCTAATAGCCTTATATAGCGAATTTTTATATCGAACTTCTTCTCGATATTGAGTCAATTACACAGGCCATCAAATTGGTAAACCAAAGATCAAACTGTATGTTAAGATATCTCAAAGAAGGAAGATGATATAACAGGGTTTTTGTTTCAAAGCCAATATAGGACTTTTAGACTACATAAGTAAATTTATAAATAAAGGGAAATTCCCGCTGTTATAACGTCTTGAATATGACAAACGGATGTTTTTCAAACAACATCACGAATATATCGAATCGGATTCAGCACAACTCACTTCTTCAGAAATAATACTCAGGATTTCAATCTTTTTTAAAATTTGTCGGCCTTTACTATTAAACCAAAAGGAACTTAAGTGCCTCCAGTAGGCTAATTGTAGTGGATTCGTTTCTCACTAGAAAGCACACAAAAGGCCCCATAGTGGACTAAGCATATTTCTTCTGATTTGATGTAAAAAACTAATGAAAGGATCTTATGTAAAGGCTAAAAATATATATAAACCGATATACTTTATAAAGTATTAAATCTGTTAATGATTTGCAGGTCCGATAAAGTTGAATTTTTTGATTTGAATGTTTCTATAACCGATTTAAAAACGCTCTTTAATGAATGCAATCATTCGTGTGGAAAGAAGCACAAAATTACAGCCGTCAAATTTTAGAAATTTGAATTTTAAGTGTTTCCAACTGGCAATGCCATTTATGATTAGTAGAAAATATATACATATTTTCTGTTGCCTATTTTTATGTGTTCTAAATTCTATTTTAAAATTAAATAGTTTTCGTCAACATGATCAGCAAAAATATCTAACATCAATCCAAAAAACTTACAAGAATTTCAGGTATGTGAAGAAATTCACTTTTAAAAACGAATCGTTTTAGAATTTACAAAAGACTTTCTTTTGCATTACCTATTTAAAATTCAATTTCTTCACTTAAATAGAAAGTATTTTGATGTCTCTGCAGTATTTTGTAATAAAATAATAATAAACCATTCCACGAACAAAGTTCAAAACGTTCGAACTTCAATCACATAACAGTTTAATTCGACAAAACAAACTGATCAAGGCTGACCGAATATTCCGCATTTGAAAACATTAAATATTTGATAAAAACAAAGCCTACTTTTGGGCATATATAAAATTGTTAGCCATACACTGATCGGTATTCATTTAAGCTAGCCCAACAAACAATTTAGCTGAATATTGTATTCTCAATAATTTATCGAAGTTCATAGCATTTATGATAGTGAATAATTTAGGTTAAATTCATCATTATGAAAATTTATTATTATGAATCTAATTTTTGAAAAGATGCATATCGAGACCAAACTATAGACTAGACTATAAACTAGACTATAGAATAGATTATAGACTAGATTATAGATTAGATTATAGACTAGATTATAGACTAGATTATAGACTAGACTATAAACTATACTAAAGACTATACTATAGTCTAGAATTTTTGAAAAGATGCATGTCGAGACTACACTATAGACTAGACTATAAACTAGACTATAGAATAGATTATAGACTAGATTAAGGATTAGATTATAGACTAGATTATAGACTAGACTATAAACTAGACTAAAGACTATACTATAGACTAAACTATAGACTAGACTATAGACTAGACTATAGACTAGACTATAGACTAGACTATAGACTAGACTATAGACTAGACTATAGACTTGACTATAGACTAGATTATAGACTAGACTATAGACTAGACTATAGACTAGACTATAGACTAGACTATAGACTAGACTATAGACTAGACTATAGACTAGACTATAGACTAGACTATAGACTAGACTATAGACTAGACTATAGACTAGACTATAGACTAGACTATAGACTAGACTATAGACTAGACTATAGACTAGACTATAGACTAGACTATAGACTAGACTATAGACTAGACTATAGACTAGACTATAGACTAGACTATAGACTAGACTATAGACTAGACTATAGACTAGACTATAGACTAGACTATAGACTAGACTATAGACTAGACTATAGACTAGACTATAGACTAGACTATAGACTAGACTATAGACTATAGACTAGACTATAGACTAGACTATAGACTAGACTATAGACTAGACTATAGACTAGACTATAGACTAGACTATAGACTAGACTATAGACTAGACTATAGACTAGACTATAGACGAGACTATAGACTAGACTATAGACTAGACTATAGACTAGACTATAGACTAGACTATAGACTAGACTATAGACTAACTATAGACTAGAATATAGACTAGACTATAGACTATAGACTAGACTATAGACTAGACCTATAGAACTAGACTATAGACTAGACTATAGACTAGACTATAGACTAGACTTATAGACGAGACTATAAGACTAGACGATAGACTAGACTATAGACTAGACTATAGACTAGGACTATAGACTAGACTATAGACTAGACTATAGACTAGACTATAGACTAGACTATAGACTAGACTATAAGACTAGACTAGACTAGACTAGACAGACTATAGACTAGACTATAGACTAGACTATAACTAGACTATAGACTAGACTATAGACTAGACTATAGACTAGACGATAGACCTAGACTATAGACTAGACTATCGACCTAGACTATAGACTAGACCTATAGACTAGACTATAGACTAGACTATAGACTAGACTATAGACTATAGACTAGACTATAGACTAGACTATAGACTAGACTATAGACTAGACTATAGACTAGACTATAGACTAGACTATAGACTAGACTATAGACTAGACTATAGACTAGACTATAGACTAGACTATAGACTAGACTATAGACTAGACTATAGACTAGACTATAGACTAGACTATAGACTAGACTATAGACTAGACTATAGACTAGACTATAGACTAGACTATAGACTAGACTATAGACTAGACTATAGACTAGACTATAGACTAGACTATAGACTAGACTATAGACTAGACTATAGACTAGACTATAGACTAGACTATAGACTAGACTATAGACTAGACTATAGACTAGACTATAGACTAGACTATAGACTAGACTATAGACTAGACTATAGACTAGACTATAGACTAGACTATAGACTAGACTATAGACTAGACTATAGACTAGACTATAGACTAGACTATAGACTAGACTATAGACTAGACTATAGACTAGACTATAGACTAGACTATAGACTAGACTAACTTTAGACTAGACTAAAGACTAGACTCCTTTGAATATGAATGCATGATTATGATAGCTTAAGTGTTTTGAAATAGAGACATGGTTTTACAATATTTCAAGCACGTATAAGTTTTTTTAAATAATCGGAACTTAGGCCAAGATGCTGGTCCTGATAATAATTTGAAATACAGATATTTATAGAATACAAATTTCTACATTTTTTCATCTTAAATTATTTTTCCTAAACTTATAACTTCCAGATGGAACCACAGTTGATCTTGCATTTTTGAAGATTTGCAAACTTAAATGTAGTAAATGTAATGACATCAAAGCAATTTATTTTGGAAAAAAGTTTGGTGAAACAAGAGTTAATCCTTAAAGAAGGATTTCATTACAGACAAGTAAAGTTTATTTTCACTCTAATTCACAAAATATTAAGAAAATTAAAATCTATAATAATATATTTTCACACACAAATGTTATGCAATTTTATTTTATTAAAATACACAAATGTAAAGATTTTTACCTAAAAATCATGTAAATTAGTCCCAATTTAAAAACCGCACATGTAACAATATTTATCATCAACAAATCAGAATTGAAAGCAAACAGAACTCCATTAAAATTCCACTTATTTAGATTAGACACTAAAATGTAATTTATTATTTTAAGCCAATGACTTTGTTGTATTCTTCATTGTGTTTAAAAAAATGATCGTTTTTTTTTATTTCTATTTCTATACAAAAT